GAGCCCCCGCCATGTAATTGGTCTGCACTGCGGCAGGGAGTTCCGCAGTTCCGTGGAGCAAAGTTGAGTCCGACTGATGAAATGTGCCCCAGCCAGCAGCTCAAGGCAAAGGACTGCATGAAGCCTTTCTTTCACTTTCCCCTCTCCCTCTCTTTGTAACCAATCCCCCATTAAAACACTTAAGTTTTGAAACTTTGAATCCTTTCCGCTTGATACTTTGTGTCCTTTTCCTGGCTGCAACTTTTCTAACTCACAATAAACCTTTTTCTGAGCTCCGGGGAACCATGAGCTCACTGGGGACGCCTTCCTGGCCTCCCCAGGCCTCCGAATTTGCGTTAGTTCAAATCGTGGATACGGAGATTTTCCTCTACATTAACTTCTAAGACTAACTGCTATCTTGGTTTTCTCATTTTGGACTCCTGCACTCATGAAATAATTGTTTTTGTTTAATCATTAAAATTCGGCCGAGCCACCAGCTGATTGTCAAAATTCGCCGGCTTTTGCCGCTTGCTTCATTCCCCCGTCGCTCCTCGCTCCAGCATGGTTCCCGCCGCCTGCGATCCGCCACGATTGCCCCAGGAGAAGCCTTGGAAGTGGGGACCGGGCAGGGAAGGCCCGATCCCCGGTTGGGAGCGCTAGTTCCACCAAGGACAGGACAGCGGAACATAGCTCCCCCTTAGCTCCAGCTCCTGTTTCAATAATGAACTGATCTTCTGATGGCCAGCCTAAGCCATAGGCTGGCCCCTGCCTCCAAACCCCTCCGTCTAGGCTTTTGGGATTTCTAGACTTTCTTTACCTTTTTTATGAAATGAAATAAAATAAAATACTTTCCTATGGAAGGGGATTGGGATGGGTGGTGGGTTGTGGTGTATGAAATGCCTGTACTTTATGGATATGAAATATGTATCCCTCAATGAATTCCCCTGTGCCTTCACCCCCTTGACCTCTTACCCCATAAAGCCAGCATGACCAGGAACTGCCTGGGGGAAGAGCCCAAGCCTTCTTCCCCCTAAATCACCCGTGATTATCTCATCTTGCATGGACAATGCTGCTGGCCCCCAACTTTGTCTTCGGAGCAAGACCAACAAAGGAGGGTTTGGTCAGCAGAGCCCCGGAAAGAAAGGACTGATCTACTCAAATCAGATACTATTGATCCTCCGGGCGGTCTGGTATCGACCCAGCTATTCAAATCCCTTGCCAGACCCATCAAGGACAGGAAAGCCTTTGTTTAGCCAATATCACCCTCTTCCCGCCTTGAACAATAGCCCGCATTCCTGCGGGCAGGAAATCCCAAATCCCATCATTTTCCCCCTTGTCAGTGGCTGTCCCGCCTCCTGGCTCCTGATTGGCCAGGACCCAGGAAGCGAGCGGAGGGCGCCCATTGGCCCTCCCGAGGCAGAGAATCCCTCCCATTGGCTCCTGACGGGGGAGGGCGGGATTACCTCCTCCCAGCTGTTCCAGCCTCAGCCAATCAGCATGAAGCCGGCTGACAGGGGGGCGGGCGGGATTTTCAAACTGCTTTTCTTTGTTCTTCAATGTATAAAAATGCCTGTAAACTCTTGTGCTGCATGCTCTGCAGTGGAATGATTCCTGTATTGCATCCATTCAGCTGAATCGCAAATAAACGCCTCGGTCGCTGGACTCCTTTCGCCTGGTGAGATTATTTGATTTTAATAACTTTTAGCGCTCTTGGATTGGCTTCCGGAAAAATCTCGCCAAGGTACCCAGGACCCTCTTTGGTGCGGTCCTTGGGCTCTCCCCTCAGGAAGGGCCCCCCAAAGTGCTCGATATCAATATCATGATCTGATCACCATGCTCAATATATCCCATATGCATGGGGGTATTGGGTAATGATACAAAAGGTTTGCTAGGGTAGACCCTCTTTCACTCAGACTCAGCCCCCCCCCCCCATCAAACTCAGGCCCTCCCAAATCAAAATCCTGGCTACGGCCCTGGAGCTGTCAAAACTTAAGATATAACTGAAGATATAACCCATCTCTTCTGGCAGGCCTAGCCAGTCATCTTTGAACCATGAGTTTTGGATTTGCATTGTATTTCTGCTGAATGTTGATCTTTGTACCCTGTGTTTTGGTGTATGTGTTTTAAATTATGTTTTGATATCTATATTTTGTTGTATGTATTTAATGTTGATATTTTGACTGTGTTGTGCTCCCCACCGAGCCGTTAGGAGAGGCATTAGCAAATAAATTCTATCATCATCATCCTCACCACCACCACCACCACCACCACCACCATACATGCCTGAGATGTAATGGCAGATTAATTAGAACTCTATTCTCCACTGAGACAGGGAGAAGAGGAGCAAGGAGGGAAAGGCTTAGCTCATGAAGAGCAACCTACTTCCCACCTCCCGCAGTGATGCCAATTCAACAGTCCAACTTCATTCCCCTTGCCAACGCTGGCCTTGTCCTCCACATGTGACATACAGCAGACAATTTAACCATGGATTACAAACATATCTAATGTTCATAGCATTGACTCTTGAGGTCTTTTCTGTGTAATGTAATTTCCTTAATCTTCACCTTTGGTGAGGATGGTTAAAGGCACCAGATCCAAGCCAGTAAAGGAAGTTCCCAAGTTACAAACATCCAGTTTACAAACAACATATGTTTAAGAATGGGTGTGAAACAACTGGAAGTGAAAGAAATCTTCCCCTTGGAAGGGAAGTTCACTTCTGAAAGAGTTATCATGGGGAAAGGGGTTCTCCACAACAAACCAAGTGTTTCAAAATCCAATTCTCGTGGTGACAGAAAGTGAGGTGAAATCTCCTGAGCAAAACAAACATCATAGAGGTATGAACCCCTCCCTATGCTATCCAAAACTAATATCTATCTATCTATGGTTGGAGTTACAGATAATAAATGTACAAATTCAACCTAAGAACAAACCTGTAGAACCAATCTTATTCTTAGCTTGGGGACTGTCTGTACTTGGCTAGTATTTGAGTAGGAGACCAACAGTCAGGTGAAATTATTTTGGAGCCATAAATGGCCTTCAGGTTAGATGTTCTCAGTGTTTTTGAGTATTGAACTATGGATGCATTAAAGTTTGGCACCACTTTAATTGCCCTGGCTCAATGCGATGGAATTCTCAGAGTTGTAGTTTGATGAGGCACCAACACTCTTTGGTGTAGACCAGGCATGGATTAATGTTGGCACTCCAGATGTTTTGGACTTCAACTCCCTCAGTTCCTAACAACCAGTAATCTGACTGAGATTTCTGTGTGTTGAAGTCCAAAACACCTGGAGGGCTGAAATTTTCCCATGCTTGGTGTAGATGCACGCTGTGACTCTGGAGATTAGGGTTGGATGACACTAGTCAAATACACAGTCCGAGTCTTAGAAAACCCTGCAATAGCTTTGCCTTAGGGTTGTCAAAAGTTAGAAGTGACACAAGCACACAACAACCACCAATGTTGGGTCTTCTTGCCTTGTTCATTGCAATGGATGGTGTCATGACCTGTAATAATGTGAAGTGCACGGAGCAGGTCATGTTAGTAAGTTGGGGCCCTGGGGGCAGGCCAGGCGCTGAAGGCCAGGGAGCAGCAAGCAAGATGTCTGGGGACTGAGCCATGCATCTCACACAACCTTCTCTCCATTCCCTTTAACCAGTGGTTCTCAACTTGTGGATTCCCAGGTGTTTCGGCCTACAACTACCAGAAATCCCAGCCAGTTTACCAGCAGTTAGGATTTCTGGGAGTTGAAGGTCAAAACATCTGGGGACCCACAGGTTTAGAACCACTGCCTTAAACCATTGGTTCCAAACCTGTGGTCCATGGACCACCAGTGGTCCGCAAGAACTAAAATATAGTCTGCGGCCTCACTGTTGAAATACAACACCGCCTGAGCTCTACAAGTGCAGCATTTTCCCAAATGAAGCAGAGAGTGTTTGAGGACATCCATAGGAATACCAAGGTGCGTATTCTCCCCAACCCTGCTATACGCCTGCGAGTCATGGACTATCTACAGACATCACATGCAACTCTTAGAATGATTCCATCAGCGTAGCCTCTGAAAAATCCTGCAAATCTCTTGGGAAGGCAAGCAGACAAATGTCAGCGTGCTGGAAGAAGCAAAGACCACCAGCATTGAAGTGATGGTCCACTGCCATCAACTCCGCTGGACTGGGCCACATTGTCCGGATGCCCGACCACCGTTTCCCAAAGCAGTTGCTCTACTCTGAACTCAAAAACGGAATGTTGGTGGAGAGGAAAAAAGATTAAAAGATGGGCTCACAGCCAGCCTTAAAAACTCCGGCATAGACAGCAAGAACTGGGAAGCCCTGGACCCTGAGCACTCTAGTTGGAGGTCAGCTGTGACCAGCAGTGCTGCAGAATTTGAAGAGGCACCAATGGAGGGTGAAAGAGAGAAACATGCCAAGAGAAAGGCGCGTCAAGCCAATCCCCACCAGGACCGCCTTCCACTTGGAAACCAATGCCCTCACTACAGGAGAAGATGCAGGTCAAGAATAGGGCTCCACAGTCACCTAGGGACCCACCACCAGTACACCAATCTTGGAAGACAATCCTACTTGGACAACAAGGGATTGCCTAAGTAACTACACAGTTGCAACGAAAGCAATGGGTCTTGCAAAATCCTCTTATAATGCTGAGGTTTATTAAATGTTTTTCTGTGCACAAGAAGATGGCAACTACTGGATGGCTTATGTTCTGTATCAGAAACTAGAACTGATGTGGTCTATCCAACCCAATTTTCTGAATCAGCACCCCAAATAACCACACCGAATCTAAAGTTGACCAAAAACTGATTGGTAACCCTTTTGGTACTAATGTTGGAGAGTGAGTGGTCCCTGGTCAAAAAAGGGTTGGGAACCACTGCCTTAAACGAACTTGCTGCCATCAGGTTGTTGCCAGTCTTGAGCATAGGGCGCGCCTATAATGTGAATGCAGCGCCTCCTGAAACCGGGCACTTTGGGGGTTAACTCCGGGTCCCGCCTCTTCCCGGGTCACGTGGTGCCGCCGCCGCCACTGCCGCGCGCTGTGGTGGAGCGAGTCAGCTGATGGAGGGCTTTGTCACGAGGGCGGATTGCTCAGTCATCTCCTTCATATCAAGAAGCAGCCAGCCTCCGTCCTGCAAAAGGGCTCTGTGAGCGGGTCAGAGCCGGACCAGCTTGCCTTCTTTTTTTTCCCTCCTCCTCCTCCTCCTCCCTCTCTGTTGCATCCAGGATGGGGCTCCGCGCTCTCGTGCTGCTCCTCTCCGTGGCTGCAGCCTCTTCGGCGCTGATCAGGTAGGGTTCCCCCTTCCCTGGGAGGGAGGAGGTCTCGGGACCCCTGGCTTTGGAGGAGATGGCTCCACATTTTTGCAAAAGCAAACAAACAACCGGGCACCGTCCCAGGGGCGTGTTCCATAGTTGCTGCCCAGGGATGCATCTATACCAGGCATGGGCAAACTTGGGCCATCCCTCCAGGTGTTTTGGACTTCAACTCCCACAATTCCTAACAGCCGGTAACTCCCACAATTCCTAACAGCCTACCGGCTGTTAGGAATTGTGGGAGTTCAAGTCCAAAACACCTGGAGGGATGGCCCAAGTTTGCCCATGCCTGGTCTATTCTGTGGACTTAATGCACTTCGAGTCAGCTTTAACTGAAGGGCTCACTGTTAATGAAATCCTAGGACTTGCAGTTTGGTAGAAGAGGCTCAAGAACCTTGTAAAACTACAAATCCCATGTTTCCATAGTATGGAGCCATGGTGGTTAAAAAGTGGACTCAAACTGCATTAATTCTACCGTGTGGTTTTGTGTATGCAGGAAGGTAACATTGAGCCACTTCTCAAAACCAGCCACACTGCAGAATTGTAGCACCATTTTAACTGCCATGGTTCCCTACTGGGTAAGTTGTGGCAGAAGAGCTCTCTTAGGGCCCTTCCACACATTCCTATATCCCAGAATATCAAGGCAGAAAATCCCACATGGAATATATGGCAGTGTGGGCTCGGATAACTCAGTTCAAAACAGATATTGTAGGATTTTCTGCCTTGATATTCTGGGATATAGGAAGGGCCCCCAGACAGGCTCTGTTTCCCAGGATCTGATCCCTGGTTTACTGCTTTAAACTGGATTATATGAGTCCGCACTGATAGACAATCTGGGATAAAACCTGGGATCAGATCCTGGGATATAAGGTCTGTCTGGAGCCCCCTCTACACTACCAGATAATCCAGGCTGTCAAAGCAGAAAAACCACATGATCTGCTTTGAACTGGATTATCTTAGTCTACACTGACATATAATCCAGTGCAAAGCACATGATGTGGATTTTATACAGCTGTGTAGAAGGGCAAGTATCAAAACCCTCCAAACAAGAAGAGTAAATGGTTATCTCATAAAATATTGAACCCCATTATTCTATAGCTCAAAGCCATGGCAGTGAATGTGGCGTCAAATTGTATTAATTCTGCACAATGTATGTATACAGTTCTGCTGAGTGTAAAGCCTGGACACACACACACACACACACACACACACACACGTATATATAATGATCCTTTGATTTTTATCCATGTATTTTAACTATGTTGTACCCCACCTTGAGATGTGAGAGGAGGCAGGTAACAGATAAAATGTGTTATTATAATTTATTTAGAGAATGTTTGTTTCTTTGCTTGGCTTCTGGGAATGTTGCGTGCCTAAGGGAGAACCCTTCCACACAGCCAAATACCCCAGAATGTCAAAGCGGAAAATCCCACATTATCTGTTTTGAACTGGGTTATCTGAATCCACGCTGCCATATATTCCAGTTCAAAGCAGAAAATGTGGGATTTTATTCAGCTGTGTGGAAGGGACTGGAGTCCACACATGAAACCAGTGTGACTTGTGGAGTGGGATGGATTTAGAAGAACACAGTGCTGGGCCTCAGATCCTTCAGTGGATCTGAGCGCACAGAGATCCTCTTTGTGGAGAGGATTTAAGAGTCAGGGATTAAATAAGTATGAAACAAGAATCAGAAGTGGGAGAGGAATCCCCAAGAAGAAAGCCCATTCCTCCCTGGATGCTGCGCCTTTGTTATTAGCCTCTCGAGATAGCTGTTGTATTTAAAGATTGGACGCTTCTGTTTCTGAGATGAAGTTTGCTTCGAAGTAAGCCTCTTATAAAGGCACCAGATCCTGTCTTGTATTGGAAGCTAAGCTGGGACTTATTGTGACTCCATGGATTTCATAACGTGTTCTTAGTCGAGGAATACTCGCAGGTGGTTTTGCCAGCTCCTACCTTTGAAATACTTCTTACAGAAAATGGAATTTGTTGGTGGTCTCCCATCCAAGTGCTAGCCTGCGTTGTGCCCTGCTTAGTGTCCAAGATCAGATAGGATCTGAGGCCACTAAGATTATTTAGGGAGTAAACAAGGATACTAGGACAGCTTTCTTTCTTTCTCCATACCCTAGTTTTGTGGTACCCTTGCTGGTTCTGACCAGCAATACATCTATTGAATATGATAAAATTAATTTATTTGGTCTCTTCAAGATGAAGTAAGAAACTTTGTGTCTATGGATGCTGCAGTTCAAACTAGGACTTGTAGTAGAGGCGGGGAAATGGGTCCCTCTCCCCCCCCCCCTCTATATATAACTGTATGTTGTGGAAGTCTTGCTCCTATCATTCTCCACCACTTTCCCAAAGTGTTGATAAGGTCGGTGAAAGTTGCAGACCAACAGCTCACGGCTATCTTTCACTTTTCAAGATAAGAAGTAACAGCAGGTTTTTGTCTTCTCCTTCTTTCGTTTGATGGAGAATTATTGCTCTATCATGGAGCAAGGGTTGGTATTGCATTCTGATGTAAGTTTACTCAGGAGTAAGACCAACTGAGATTAACTCTACACTGTAGAATTAATTCAATTTGACACCACTTAAACTACCATGGCTCAATGCTATAGATTAAAATTCAGGGAGCAGTGCTTTGATGAGTCAGTAATGTTCATTGGCAGAGAAGGCTAAAGACCTTGCAAAACTACAACTCCCACAACTACATAGCACTGAGCCATAACAGTTGAAGTGGTGTCAAACTGGGTTGCTGTGAGTTTTCCAGGCCATATGGCCATGTTCCAAAAGCGTTTTCTCCTGATGTTTCACCCACATCTATGGCAGGCATACTCAGAGCTTGAGGGGTCTGTTGGAAACTAGGCAGGCGAGGTTTATATATCTGTGGAATGTCCAGGGTGGGAGAAAGAACTCTTGTCTCCTTGAGACAAGTGGGAATGTTGCAAATGGCCACACTGGAAGAAAGGATATTAGAGACAAAGTTGAAATCTTTCGGCCACATAATGAGGAGACAGGAAAGTTTGGAGAAGGCAGTTATGTTGGGGAAAATGCAAGGAAAAGGGGCCAACCAAGGGCAAGATGGATGGATGGTATCCTTGAAGTGACTGGCTTGACTCTGAAGGAGCTGGGGGTGGTGACGGCTGACAGGGAGCTCAGGCGTGGGCTGGTCTATGAGGTCACAAAGAGTCTGAAGCGACTGAACGAATAAATAACAATAGGGTTGTGTGGAGGGGCCCTCAGTGATCTGGGAAAGGTTTGTGGCCAGAGTATAAAACTAGTATTGAGAGGCCACATTATTACATTTATTTGTCAGGCCTTAATATAATAGAGATGTGTAGTATATGTTCTAAGAAAAATGCAGAAACAAACTACCTGATATGAAGATATCTTCAACTTTTAGACAGCTCAGCTAGTGCAAGAAGTGGTGTCTCATTAAAAACACATTATTATATCAATGGTAAAAGAATATTCTCTTTTCACTCGCTATTCCATCTTTCATATCTGATGAGATACCACCTGTTAGAGATGGAACTAGATTAAAGATGAACAATCATATTTTCAAAGCAAGCAAACATGTTTGGTGGCTGGTGTTCTGACATGCAGCAGTAAGTCCCTCCTACGTGGCTGCCAGTGCTCTAAAATCAAGATCTCTTTTAACCAGAGTGATGGCCCACAGTATCATTACTCTTTAGTTTTTTAAAAAAAATAATGTGGTTGTATTAAAGGAGCTTACTCTATCATTTCAAAATGCCAAGGGCACAGAGGGCTGGGCTGCTTTAAAGAGCTAAGGATGCTGTCACGCCCGTAAGAAGGGGCTTGCCAAAAGTCTGCCATGGCATTCTTGAAGTGTCTAATTTCATCTTCCACAAATGTGGAAGTTATCCACCAATGTGTTTCATCTGTGGTGACCATACAGTTCCTTCCGTCTCACAGCAAGATGAAGCCAATTCTTCTTGTTTCCCTTTTCTCCTGTGTTCTCTCTGAAGTGCAAAAAATGTGAAGGGATCTTTATTTATTTACGACATTTATATGCCGCCCTTCTCATCCCGAAAGGGACTCAGAGTGGCTTACAAGATATATATACATACACTATATTATATTTTGCTTTAGCTTTCTGCTGGATAGAGCTGGCTTCTGCTTGTTGGTTTCTCCTGTCAGATGCTCCACATTGAACAGGTGTGACGCTCCAAATGTCACTAAATTGTAGTGCACATCAACCTTACCCGATAAAGCCAATTGTAAGGAATGATGGGAATTGCAGTGCAACATCATTTGGAGGGCTATGCATTTCCTGCCTTTATCACAGAATGCTAGAGAATTGCATAGTTCTAAAAAATATGTTATTTGTTAGGTAGAATGGAGATGACTACTGCTTGCTGCTTAAACTTAAATACTGATTCATTAGTTGGTGTTTCCAGGAAAATAGAAACAATAGTACCCAATTTAGTACCAACCCTTGATACATTGGAAAACAATAATAGAATCCTAGAGTTGGAAGAGGCCTCATGGGCCATCCAGTTCAACCCCCTGCAAAGAAGCAGGAAAATGGCATTCAAAGCAACCCAACAGATGGCCATCCAGCCTCAAAACCCTCCAAAGAAGGCGCCTCCACCACACTCTGGGGAAGAGAGTTCCACTGCTGAACAGCTTTCACAGTCAGGAAGTTTCTTTCTCATTTGCAGATGGAATCCCCTTACCTGTAGTTTGAAGCCATTGTTCTGTGTCATAGGGCCCTTACAGGCAGACCCTATATCCCAGAATCTGATCCCAGTTTTTCTGCTTTAAACAGGAATATGTGAATCTACACTGCCAGGTAATCTGGGATAAACAGAAAGCCTGAGATTGGATCCTGAGATAGAGGGCCTGTCCAGAAGGGCCCTCGTCTCCAGGGAAGCAGAAAATAAGCCTCCCTCCTCCCTATGACTTCCCCTCACATATTTCTATACAATAATCTCCCAGCTTCAGAGAGCCTGAAAGCACTGCTCTATATGCGTAGAACTATGTCTCCCATACTGCTAGACAGCATGGGAGTTGCAGCCTAACACTTTGAGAGCATCAGGTTGTGAGAAGAGGCATTGAGGAGTGCCTCCCATGTTAATTGGTATCTGGGCTTTGTATTCCAAAATAGTTGCTACTGCTTCACTTAATTTATACGTGCATACAAATATGTGACTACAGTCTGACTCTTGTATATTAAGAAAAGGACTTAAAAAACTATTTATTTAGCTGGCCACTCTTAGGACACCTTTGTCTCCATGTTTAAGGTGTAATTTGTTAGGTTTTGTTTACAATTGTTTGAGGAATCTGTGAACTCAATGTAGTAATTAATCCTACATGGTTATATACATTCTCATTCTTGTCTGGGGTGGGGAGTGGCTTTAAACAGGACATAAAATAGGAGCTGTAAGAGAAAGTTTGGCCACAGGAGAGCTTCTTGCTATTCAGATTGGTGGAATGAAGCATCACAAGTGAAACTCGGATATCAACTTGGTGTCCTTCGGTGTTGTTTAAGAATATTTTAATCGCAGCATAATAGCAAAGCTCCAGAGCCAGACCTTCTAGCAGATATACTTTAATAAAAAGGAAGAAAGAACAACTTCCTAAACTTGCCCTACAAGGGTTTCCTCCCATGCAGAAGTGCCAGATTCCCTGCAGGAGGAAAACCAGCAGGGATCTCCTGACTTCACAGAAACCCTGTCAATAAACCCAGTGCACCCCAACAGGCAGTGTGGCTCCCACAGAATCTGTTGTCTACTTTCCTTTAGCTCCATATCAAAAGGCAAACAAGGCTGCCTTTGTTCCTCAGGCAAAGGCTTTACTTTTGAATCTCGTAAGATAATCTCCTTTTTGTGGAGCGTAAAGTAGAAAAATGCTCACCATGGAGCACCAGTTGCTTTCATGTGGCTAAGCTTTATGTTGTGGGATAGGGCGGTGACATAGTTTCACAGCTTCATCTAATTTTTCTTCCTTTCTTTTCTAAAATATCAATTCTCCTGGACCAGAATCCCACTGAAGAAGTTCCCTTCTGCGCGTAGTATCTATGCTGAATATGGAACTGACCTCCAAGACCTGGATAAGTTGGGAGAAATGCTGAAATACAAATATGGGGGTCCAGGTGCAGGTACGCCTACCCCAGAGACTCTGAAGAATTACATGGATGTAAGTATATCAGCTGGTACTTCCTTCCCCAACAATATTGGCATTTTCTTCTTATTTCATAGTGAACAGGTACTATGTAATAAATCGAGAAGTTGTAACCCTCTAGCTCAGTGGTTCTCAACCTGTGGGTCCCCAGGTGGTTTGGCCTACAATTCCCAGAAATCCCAGCCAGTTTACCAGCTGTTGGGATTTCTGGGAGTTGAAGGCCAAAACATCTGAGGACCCACAGGTTGAGAACCACTGCAGCTGTCTTTGACATTGCATATTTATAGATACAGCTTGGATCAGACCTTCACAACCTGTGACCCTCCAGGTGTTATAAACTTAAGCTCCAGAATTCCCAGCCACTGGACAGGATAGGGCTTCTGGGAGTTGGAGTCCCAAACATCTGGAGGGCCACAGGTTGTGCAGGTCTGGCTTACATGGTAGGCAATTTTATTTCAAAACATCCGGCATTCAGTGTTTCATTGGTGCGCCTACACATGCTCAGCTTCATTCCTCTGACAGACTTGATGTGTAAGCAGGCTTACACAACTGACCTGCAAGTGCCAAAGTATGTCACCTCCATGGGAAGTCCACTCCCACTGCAGTACTGCCCTTCTTGAGGCATGGCCTCCCTGATAAAGAGTCCATATATCTATATGGGACATGCCTGTTTATGACATTCCTTTTGGCAAAAGTAGCTGTCGAAACAAAGGAGAATGTGTAGGAGGAGTGTGAAAAAATTGGGGAGGCACTGAGTGGATCTGATAGTGAGGATGGTTTGAGTGTTTCTGAGACCTTGACATTCTGGGATATCATAGCCAGCCTACCAAGCAAAGGCTTCCACTGGAGAAAGAACAATTGTTTGAAGTTGGCAACCAAATAACCATGACCTACTGAGTTATTGTATGCTTTTGAGACATTTCCAATTTATGGCAATCCAAAGGCAACCCTATCGTGGGGTTTTCCTGGCAAGATTTGTCCAGCCTTCCTATGTGGCTGTGAGAGTATGATTTGCTCAAGGCTACCCACTGGGTTTGCTTTTGAGACATTTCCAATTTATGGCAATCCAAAGGCAACCCTATCGTGGGGTTTTCCTGGCAAGATTTGTCCAGCCTTCCTATGTGGCTGTGAGAGTATGATTTGCTCAAGGCTATCCACTGGGTTTCATGGCCAAGTGGAAATCCAAACTTTGGCTGCCAAGGTCCTAGCCCAACACTCAAATCAATACACCACTCTGGCTCTCAACCTACTAAAGAGACAGCAGTATAATCTCATTGTTAAATCCAAGCATATTCATTAAAGGATTATTTTTGTTACCTTTGGCAGTTTTACTGACATTACTTTAACTCCTCTTGGAATATTTCCCTCTCTTTGTATCTCTCTTGTGCAGTCAAATTAATTAGGAAAGAACGGGTTAATAGTCTGCTGAAACTTAATCCGCTTAATCCACTTAACTGAAATATATAGTAGTTAGTGGTCCATTTTTCTTCTCCAGTTGAGTCTTTTAATATGGGCCACACAACAGTGGTTACTTTTTGCTGAACTCTTTTTGCCATCAGTTATATGTCTTCCAAGTTGTTTCCAACCTATGGCAATCCTAAAATGAATCTATCCCTGGGTTTTCTTGACAAGATTTGTTCAGAGAGGGATTGCCTTTCCTTTCCTCTGTGGCTGAGAGAATGTGACTTTCCCAAAGTAACTCAGTGGGCTCTCCAGAGAAATAATCTAAGACACAGTCCTCTACAGCTGTCTCTTTTTGCCACCATTAAGATATCAGAAATGATCATTGTTCTTGTAGGATGAAGGAACTATTGCAACTGTTGCAGATGGTGCTTATTTGCTCTCTAGGACCCCTTCCACACAGCCGAATACAATCCCATTTTATCTGCTTTGAGCTAGATTGTATGGCAGTGTGGACTCAGATAACCCAGTTCAAAGCAGATATTGTGGGATTTTCTGCATTGATATTCTGGGCTATGTGATTGTGTGGAAGGGCCCTTGGTATTCTTTGCAAAATAGTTGTAAATAACAAGTGCATCTCCTTTTCTGATTTATTGATGGAGGATTGTCTAGCAAGGCAATCGCTAGAGAATATCTCCAGAATAGGCATTGGTGAACCAATGCGTTTTTATAGAACCAACAATAGTTCAAATAAAAATAATTTGCTTTTGCATCATCAAATTCTGCTCAGACTGGCTATTCAAGAGTCAGGAAAAAGATGCTTGAGTGTGGGAAGAACCAGTAATCACAGACTCTTGCAATTAGATTAAATCGGGGGTGGGAAATGTTCCACCCTACAGATCTTGTTAGACGGCAGCTTGCAGCATTCCTCACTGCTGGGACTTGCAGTCCAATCAGGGTCATATGGTACTCTCCCCTGGGTTAAGAGGAAGGCCATTTGCTGGGATTAGGATGCAATACGAAAGGTGCCATCTGAAAACTAAGTTAGTGCTAAACATGTTCAATAGAGCATAGAACTAGAAGCAATAAACTTCTGGATATCTAATATGACGATAACCTGGAACAGCCCTTGCTAAATGTTACTCTATTGCAGTGGTTCATAAATATTGGTCCTTTAAGTGTTTTGGACTTGAACTCTCAGAATTCCTGAGAGCTGGCCAAGCTTGTGGGGACTTCGGGAAACTGAAGTCCAAAAGCATGCTTTCTTAGAAGGACCAAACGTTGGGATCCACAACTCATTCAGATGGTAGTTAGGTGGAATCAGATGAGATGTGGGAATCTTGGCCTGTAGCTAAAAAGTCTAGAACCAAAGACTATTTTACCTTTAAAAAAACTCCAGTGTGAGAGCACCCATCCCCACTCTGAAAATGGATTTTCTTGTCAAACAGCTCTTAAAGGTTGCCACATGTTTGAAGCCAGTTTTTCAAGGCTCTCTGGAGCACCTGATCTGCACCTCCTGAGCAGTAATAAAACTAGATGTTTAGTATAGCTGTGGAAATTCTATGAGAAATAATACCTCAAGGTATTCTAAAATTTTGTCTTAGGAAGAATTACAGAAATCAGTAAAGAAAGGAATGCAGATTTGGCTTGATGGCAGCTGTACAGGTATATATTTTCTAGACAAATGTTTGATTCCTTTCCAAAGGATTTGAATCTCTGTTATGCTGTATAGATCACCTCTACTCTTAAACAATGAGAGGACTAATTTTTGTAGGTCTGGGAAAGAAAAGCTTATAAGCTTTGAACAATGTTGTGTCATGGCTATAATTGTACTCTTGGCAAAAGCCAACGACTCCAGGCATACTTAATATTTCATTATAATGAGGTCTTTATGGCACCATGCAATTCCCAGGCTGCAGCGTAAAGCATACTTTCTTGGAAGCAAGCACCAGTGCCGTCAGCAGGATTTGTTTAGGGGGAAAATGATTTGGGTGTTGTGGTTCTTGTGTTTTTATGGCCTACTTCTCTAGACATATTTACCTGGGGGTAAGTCTCACTGAACTAAGCACACCTGCTGTTTCTCATGCATCTTGGGTTCAGACTACCTGAAAGACTCTTATCTCCCTGTATGACAAAAGCAAGAACTAGAGAGCAACCAATAAAATCTGTAGAAGAAACTGGAGATTTATCTGAAGGTGCTCAATTGGTAGATTTTTTTTTGCAGGTTTTTAAAAAAGCCCAATATGTTTTTGCCAAAATATACTCTCAAAGGTCTGATTCCTAGAAAAGAAACCATTTGAGGGTTTCAGTTCTAGAAATTTCTGAATTTAAAAACATCAGATAGCCCCTGAAGAAGGCCTTTAAGAGTATATATACAGGTGAAAACATGTTGGACTTTTAAAAATCCAATAAAGTCCATCAATTGAGCCCCTTGAAAATTTCTTCTGTGCATCTCCCTCTATGAAGATGACTTCCCTTCAGTCCAATCACTGTCAAAGTCATGTTTTTGAGGACATTGGAGAAGGTCTTCTCAGGTCCCTTCTACACTGCCGTATAAAATCCAGTGTAGTGTAGACTCATATAATCCAGTTCAGAGCAAATAATATGGATCATCTGATTTGATAATCTGGATTATATGGCAGTGTTGAAAAGGCCTCAGTGGAGGCTAGATTTATCCTTTTCTACTCTTTTTTGCTGTTAAGCAAAGGTTTCCTTATTTATACAGGCCTTCAGCTTCTAATTGGGTCTTAATTGCCAAAGGGCCTTTTACTGGGGGAATGCTATACTTTTATCTTCACTATTAGGTTTTAAGCATTCTTTAAATCATTTTAAATTAGTGTTTAAAGTTGATTTGTTAACTAATTGGGTGTTAACTTTTGCATTATGCATTTTAACAGTCAATGTTGTAAGCTACAGTGGTCATGAAAGGTGTGCTTCAAATTTGTGCAACCCTTGGGAACCCACAAAGGTCCAAAGATTATTTCTGCCCCTCAAGAGGAAAACATTTCACAGTTGACATTTTTTAGAGCTTTTACAGGTGGTATCCTTCCACCTATCTATTACGTGGCCGAGCATAAGAGATGTTTTGTGTGCATTATTTGTGTATCTTACCATTTTACCATGAAAATGGTCTCTGTCGCTAGGAAATACAGAGCATTTTACAAACAGGCCCTGAATAAGAAGGTGCTAAAGACACAAGTGAACTTCCCCTCCTTTTTTAGCACACACAAACCATTCTTGGTTCTAGGAGGCTGGATACCAGAGCTTGGAAAAGATACAGTGTCTGCACTGACTGGGTTCTTTTGAGAGTTGTAATCCAGGAAAGAGCATTTTGGTTGATAAATGTCTTTGCTGAGTAAGTTAATTGGTATGAATGTTACATTTGAATTAGCTGTTGAGATCCTGAAAATCTGAGAATAAACCGAATTTGATTCTGCAGTCCTTTCATGCTTTCAAAGAATTTACCTTAAATGTGAAAGACTAAACTCTTTTTTTTCCTACTAAGTTGGTATCACCTTGATCATGCATTACTCCACTGTGATTCCTAGCATAATAAATGTAACTTCACCAAAACATCATTAATCCCTTATTTACCTGGACAGATGACCATATCC